TCATAGATATCATATGTATTAGAGTTAGTAGTATGCAGTAGGATTTTTTCTGTTAAAGGGAAAATTATATAATCTGAGCTGTCCAATGTCGTAGACACTATGCACCTGGGGCTACTTGAACAGTGACTGATGTAATGGGAGAATTGATTTTTGAATACATTTAGTAATGTAAATATAAATTTAAATATCTGTGTCCCTGAATTGGACTACTAATACTTCTGGGACAAGAGATAACCAGAGAAGTATTCGAATCACGTATTATCACAATCCAAATAAGTTTCACTTCAAGCCGAGGCATTTCTTTGAATTAATATCTACTCATTTACTAAAACTGTATTGAACCAATTCATTCTGATCTTGTAAAATTCTGCCTAGAAATTTCGAGAGATCGAAAGCATCTTCTGAAGGCTAAAGGAAGAGATGATAGCTGGCTTTTATTGTGCTTCATATTTACAGAATACACCTAGAGTTTCAGGACCGAGATATTGACTATCAAGAGTTTCTAAAATTTGTCCCAGCCTTTCCTCCCATTCTGGTTTCTAATAACTCTGGGGAATGTTCTTTGTATTGTAGACTTATTATTCTCTCTAGATGTCATTTCTTCAGCTGTACGCAGCCTACCTTTTCTTCTTGCCTCTGTTTCTTTCTAGTTTTCAAAATAAAAGTCTTTTCTTCTATCTTAAAAACAGTTAAATAGTCATTGCTCCTTTCAACTTCCATCACTCTCCACATTGAGGAGAAATCAGCAGACTTTGTTGTTTGTCTCACTTTCTTATTCCACCAATTATCACCATTTATCATGATCCCATATTTAATTTTAAATTACTTTTCTTTTACCATGTAAAATCCTTGAGATCTTGTTGACCTAGGACCTTGAGACTTTGTTTCAGATTTCCACTCAAGCACATTTTTCTCATAATAACATCTTTTTCCTACTGTCTCAGCATCTCTAGAACTCCTTCTTAAAAACATTCCCCTTTGGGACCTAAAGGGGTAATGGAGAATATTCTGTTCGATTACATCTTAGCAAAGGTAATTGACAGCCTATCCATAGATTAAATTTTTCTGGTCTCATCTCTGATTCCAAGTAAGAAATATAAATTATGAAGATTTCATAAATTATACTTTACCTGAACTAAAATATTCTCTCAATTACTTGATTCCACTGCTCCTATTGAGCCAGTATTTCTTTACCACTATATCTCTACAGCCCGTAATGAGCAGCTGGAGTCACACACCAGAAAGTTTGCCTTTCATATTGTCCCTGGAGTCACACTGCCATTCTATTATCTACCAAATCACAGGCTTACGCTATAAAATTCAGGAGGCCTGTGGGACCACGTCTTTCTGGAAGGCAGTATGAAATGTAATTCCTTTAAATCATACTGTCTGTCTCCCATGTATCAGGAACCATAAATTATCAAGTTCTTCTTAGGTATCTGGGGAAAAACATGAGTGATTTTTTTCCTTTGTGTTTTCTATCACTTAATCCCAGGAGCCTTAACCAAACCCAAGCAAAAATATAAAAAGCCTTCAGATATATGCTCTCTAATGCCAGGCAATTCTGTGAAGCAAAGAAATATATTAGACTTTTTTTTTGTCATGGAGAATTTAATACTTGGACAAAGAGAATAAAAGTGTGTAAGAGTCAATTGTTTTCTACACGCAGCGCAGGTTTCTTCAAACAAGTGTGAATGTAAATCCTGTGCGGCCTATGCCTCTTCTTCAGAATTTAACACAATGTCTGCAAACGTTGATGATAGGAGTTGAAGGATATTTACTCTTCTGTGACCCAAAATCATTTTCTTGTCATGAAAACAGCAAATTCTGTCCTGTAGGTTGTTTAGATCATGAAATCTGAGAACAGCTCACTGATTCACTACTTTGTTTCTGTTGCAAAGAATTCACAATGTCAAGAAGTTTCAGTTTAGGGAGATGTGTGAGCTCTGTTCACTTTTAATATATTAAACAAGTTATTACCAAGTGGTTCTACAGAACAGATCTGTGAAAATAAACTCATTCAGCTTTACTCTTTTCTCCTGTGACCTTCAAGTCCAAGTGCAGGTAGAGCCTAAAAGGAATAAATCACAAATATATTTTTTAAATATTTCCTAAATTATGAAGAATATAGATCCTTATATATATCATTCACTTATATTTAGCAGATAGTATTATTCATAATGGAGTTCTTCTGTAAAGAGGGTTCACATTTTGTGCTATCTTTCCTGCTGGATGATTGTTAGCTATTGAAGAACTAGGAAATATGGTAGAGAATGATGTGAAGTTCAAACGGATGATTTTGTAATATTTTCCCAATCACTATTGGTGTCTACAGATTCGCATCTAGCCACTACACCATTTTAGAACTTGCAATGAAAAATGAGTCAAACACAAGAATAAGTTTTCTTGGGGTCCCTTGACCCATAATAACTTTGAATAATCCTGGGTTTTGCTCAGCAAATTAGATTGTCTTATATTTGGATCCAGCTCAACTCATAGCTGTATTACTCTTTTTTCCTTTCATCTTTTTCTCTCTTGTCTGTTACAAGGGTCATTAACTCTGAAGATGAGTCCCAAATCTGCATGCATCTTTATTCTAGGTCCTGATTTTTCTTTTAATTGTCTAAAAATAACCAAGTTTTTTTATAGGGTGAGTTTATAAAAATGTAAGTTAAATGAATTTGATTTGAGTATTTTATAAAGAGACTCCCATGTGGAAAATGAAAGGAATGGGCAGGATATACAGAGGAGCAAACACTAGAAGCCTTTATACCCCCATCTTTTGTCTTTTTTAAAAGATATATGTCGTTAAGTCTTTTGTTATGGTTTTTCCAGGATAAGATTATTTTGACAAGTACTGTTTAAATTAGCATTTTAAAATATATACCCTTAGTCCGCCTGTGCTGGAATTACTGGCAGAGCAAGTGTTACAGATTCTTTAAGCATACAATGGATAAAGCTACATTTTTATCAGTGCTACCCCCTCTGTCAAGATTTTGAATCACAAAAGGAGTTGATAACAAACCCAGTTAAGTTTATATGGAGAAACTGTTTGGACAAATGACAACTTTAGAATTTTTGAGAAGCTAACATCAGTTGTCCCTCTCATGAACCAGATTGGACTGTTAGGAGAAGAGGAACACATCTTTGTATAATACACTTTGTTTTGTATTGCAACTAAATTACAGATAAAATTATGATGGCATTATCATGCAGAAGACAATGCAAAGCACTTTCCTGTGGGGGCTATCTTTCTGTTTATGTTGCTTGTGAAAGCTTGCTTTCTGTGGATATGCAAATATAGCATTCATTCACATCACATCAGTCTGTTCCAACGTGAATTATTCTGTTCTTGCATAGATGAGTAAATCTTACATGTGAGTCTGATATTCTTAGCACAGTCGTTCCTTTATTTCTTTCAATTACTATTGTTGAATTCCTAGTACAAAACTGGAAATCATTGAGTTTTAAAGACATAGTGGCAAACAAAACACACAAAAGCCATTGTTGTTATAGGACTTACACTCTATTTGGAAGCACAGGCAAAATGTAAAAAAAAAATAAGAAAAGAAGTTATAAAATGAGTGTTTAAAAAAAGATGATATAGACAGAGGAGAAATAGGACATTTATAATTTACATAACTCAAGAAATTGTTAGTGATAGATCTTTTAGAAGTATTGAATGAAATATTCACAAAAGGGATCTTGAGAAAAAATGAAAAACATAATCTCTTTCCTCTGTCTGATGAATAAACATTTGTGTGTTGGAGATTTTGGCAGTACTAGAAAAATAAAAAACTTACGTCACCTTTCCTCTTTGCCATTTTCCTTTCTTGTCTCTGCCACCAACACAAGATAGTTTCATTTATCTTTTCCTTTGATATCTAAAATATTTAGTCACTGTCTCACTTATGGCTGAACACTTGGATTGAGACTTCAACTCTCACATTTTTCTCATTACATTCCCATTTCATTTCTACCTAATGAGAGCTCACTGTATTGTCATTTATTTTCTATAAATGACTTCCTCTGTAAACTGTTTTTCAATTATCAGTGTATTCTTTGAAATGATTACTCTAAGGAATATAGAATAAAACCTTATGCTTGAGCAAGTCTGAGAATTTTACATACATTATTATGTTTGTCACAACAGTTACACAGGATTATGTAAATCATTAAGCTATTTAAGCTGTGCATAGTTAAACTAAATACAAAGAAATGATTTATAGAAATAGAGGTTAATGTTAATGTGATATAAATAGAACTTAGAATGACAGATAAAATAAAATAAATGATATTCTGTGTAAAGAATGATATATTATTTCTCCTTTCACAGTTTTGCTATCCCAAATATGTTAGAACCTATATTTACCTGGAGTATTGTGATAGCTTAGTGCCTGTATTTCTAGATTCTGAAATGCCATTCTTTCATCCAATATCTTGCAATCTTCTGATAAATCAATCTTTAAAAAATTTTAATATGTTCCTAAAATTTTATTTTTCTGAATGAAATGTTAAAAGTTTTCTCCTCTCTCATAATACAATTTTTTATATTACATTGCACCAATATATTTCCAGTACAAAGACAATATAACCTGTACTGTTTTCCAAGTAATGCGTTTATCTCTTTTGTCGAGACTATGTGGCATTAGCAATGAGTATGTGAGTGAGATTTTAGGGTCACCAAAGAATAGGTCAAGTAAGAAAAAATACACTTTGTCAATTTGTTGGCTTTATCTTTTGGTAAGATAGTTTTTCAAAATTACAAGGTGGAGAACCACCTTGAAAGACTCCCTTTTGAAAATATTTACTGGAACAAGTTTCTAGTGGCTATCACGGCCTAAGTTGAGTGTGTGGGCAGAGGAGAGCATGTGTGTATTCCTGTGTGCATGGTATGTGCTGTACAAATAATATTTTTAGCATTTATTGTGCAATTATATAGTAAGTTAGTGACACAATGAGCCTCTTCTCATAATGTATCCTAATTCATTTCCTTTCAGTCCGTTCACAGACTCCTGTCTTAGAAAAATAAAGCCTGACTTGTTCTCCTGATAATATTGTACTGCAACCAGGTATAAATGACTAAAATACTCCCCTACAGTCCCTTTGGCATCTGGGTAATTTCAAGAAATTCCTCTTTATCTCTGTTCTTTCATGCTGTGAATTTTTCAGGGACAGAATCACATCAGACAAGCCTTACTTGTTTAGCACTGTTTGAGATGCATGCTGAACTGTGAAGTACATTTCTGTGCTAAGCTTTGACCAAATTCTTCAGTGTCAACTTCATCTTTAAAAAAGAAAGTAGCCTTTCTATGGATTCAATATGTTCCCCCAATTTGATACATTGGAAATTTAATACCAATCCGAGCATATTAGAGGTGGAGCTATAGAGAATTATGCCCTAAGGGATTTATCAATATGAATGAATTAATTGGATAGTAAAGGAGTATGCAATCCTGAGTTGGTTTGGGCCCCTTTTACTTTCTCTCACTCATTTGAGATTTTTTTGGATGCAGCAGGAAGATGTAAACCAGGTGTGATCCCTTGACTTTGGACTTCCCTGCCTTCAGAGAATTAAATTTCTATTCATTATAAATTGCTATTAAATTAAATTTCTATTCATTATAAATTGCTTAGTCTCAGACATTCTGTTAAAACAGCAGAAAATTGACAGATAATCAGAAAAAGAGTCATGTGTGAGCCAACTTTCTGTCTCCCATGGGTGCATGTCATGCATGTGCAGAATTTAGCAATCACTGTGAGCAGAACTCAGAACTTTCTTAGTGATGTCAGCAGAGAAGTTAATTGGGATGTTAGTTATTTCTTTTTGAAACTTCATTTATAAACTATGTATTTCTTTCTGTGCTGGAAATCCAACTCAGGACCTTGCAATTGCCAGGCAGGTGTTTGTGCCACTGAGCAATATACCCAGCCCATAAACTATATATTCTTGGGGGATGAAAATTACTACATGAAAATAGACAAAATGGTGAAAGTGAAGGAGTCTGTTTTTTTGGAGTCAGACAAGTCTACACAATTTTTTATACAATATTTTATAAAGATATTGAATTGTAGACTATTGCAAATCTGTTATTACCCATTTATCTTCATTTTCCTTATTTTATGGAAAAGGATGACAGTGGTGCTTCTACCTTTATTGTGAGGACTCGGTTGAACCTATGCAGCCACTAAAGCTGAAAATTGCTCAGACATGAAGGGTGAGGGAAGGCTGGTCCAAGAACTGGAAGTGCTCAAGCAGCCAGGCAAAGTTGTTAGGTAGAGGGGTTGAAATTGATATCAACCCTCTCAGAGTATAAATAAACACGCTATAGGGGTTGGGCATCGGGAGGGAGGGCTCCAACTGACCTCAGCTTTCTGTCTCTTATCATCATTTCTCCATCCTCTCACCATCACTGCCCCCAGGAATTTGGAAAGCCACTCAGGCTGCAGCAAATGGGGAGAAATTTATGGAGGAGTGCCTATAATGTATATGTACATCCTGCCATATGTCCATATTTTTCTCTCTCTCTCTCCTGAAGGTACAGGAACATGTGTCATATTACTCCCAATACCTTTCACTGAATTTTTCATGAAAGAAGATGTTTAGTTTTCTACTATCTACATAAACTGCAGTAAATCTAATCTGTATTCAAGAACCAACTAGTTAGTACAGATTCAGCGTGAGGTTGCTCATTGTTCTAAGTTGACTCCAATTATTGTTGTTACCATAGATTTGACAATGACTTTGAATTGTCATTATTCAAATGGGGAGAATTATTGGGTTGTGGAAGATACTGATGTCATGTTTTTCAAAATGTGAAAACATTTTAATGGCTAAATTGTGCATTATGCATTGCTAAAAATATTCTTTGGGAAACAATAACCTTGTATTTCATTTATTCTCATTTTTGATAAATGGAAAAGACAAAGCTTTGTGACTCATCACTGCTACTTACATCCTTAAAGAACAATAAAAATGAGGAGGAAAGAAAATAAAAAGCTAAAATGATATTTTTTTGAAGTGAACTAAAATTAAAGTACAGTATAGGCTTAGAAATAGCTATATGTTGAAAAATTTGTTGATGTCACAGATTTTTAAAGTTTATCATTTGTTAATTTTATTTATACATTATGCATATATTTATATTCCTTCTCCATGTTATTTATTTTCCACTACCTAATTTTTAAAAATCTCCTCTTTCATTCAAGTATTAAAACATCAACTAGTTTTAACACAGTTCATGGATTAAAACTACATCTATAGAAACAATCCTATTTTCTAGATATTCTATGGGCTCTAATATGACAAATGGATAGGCCCTTTAGAAGATGTGTTAAGCTTACCTGACAGAGGACACAGACCTTGAGTTGTCTTATTTCCTTCAACCTGATTCTCAAAATATGAATTAAAGTGAAGGTCATTTGCAATGACTATTAGGTTTAAAAACATATGCAACTAGAATGTGCTTAAATAAATTCCTGAAGTTAATTAAGATTCTTTCTTCACCCTCAAACCCTCCCTCACCTTGCATCTCTTGATACTCTTCCCCTTTGAGAATGATCTCCCTCCCTCCTTCTTGTTATGTATCTCTTGTGCATCGACTCTACAAAGGGAATGGGAACATTATGCACTGCAAACATGTACTAAAATGAATCAGTGAAAGGAAGAGTGTCAAGAGATGAGGAGGGAGCGGAGGAAGGGAAACAGAATGAGAAAAGGAATTAAAACCTGTGTTGTATGTCAAGGAATGTAAACATTATGCACTAAAACATTTAGAAATTAACCCAAATAAAATAAGATAATTTTATTGGAATTAATTTTAAAAATGACATTATTTTCAAAATGGGGTCGTGATTTCTCATTGGGGTCTGTAGTCTGCGTTGGTTGACTCAGGCAGTTAAAGTTGCTAACTACTGAACTCATAGTGTTGCAGTTGGTCTGTGGCTAGTCCAAATCATTATACAATGAAGTGGTCATGTATGCATTTATATTCTCTCTGGATGCCTTAAATATGTATTAAGCAATCTGATGGGTGAATAAAGGTCACTCTAAAATCACAATATTTTTTTTTTCTCATGGAAGTATTACAAAATGCTTAGCATATAATGCATACTTCCAGTTCTTTAGCACTTAAAGACTTTTTGTGCCTAGTATGTTCGATTTCTTAAACCATCACTTGGTATAGGCAGAACAGTGGTACCTGAGAATGAACTTATCTTAAACTCCACAACCTATGAATGTGCTCATTTAAATGGCAAGGGGTAACTAAGTGTGCAGATCAAATGAGGGTTTTTAACCAGTCAATCTTAGATTCCCATAGCGGGTCCAATGTAATAAGAAGGGTCTATCAATTACAAGACGAAGGAAGAAGAGTCTGTGTCACAGTGTGTTGATGAATGCTATACTCAACACCCACTGGCAGCTTTAAAGATGGAATGGACTCTATGACCTAAGGGATGCATACATACATATTCTAAAATGTAGAAAAGGAAAAAAAAAAAAAAAGAGAGAGACAATGCTTCTGCTGAAACAGAGAAAAAGGAATTTATCTTTCCAGGATCTTGAATTTAGCCAACTGCAATTCATTTTTAGATTAGCAACCTCTAGAACACTAAGAATGTAATTGAGGCATTATGTGAGCTGTTGAATTTGTGATAATTTGTAACAGCAGTAAAAGAAACTTCTGCATCTCACAAAGACATTCATATATATCTTTGATGTGTCATCTGTTACTATTTCCCTAAATCTACTTTATAAACACTAAAGGTTTAATTTTCCACTCCTGTGCTGGATCTGATGCAGCCAGTTTTTATAAAATTAAGTAATTTTGCTCAGTAAAAGAGCAAACACAGTACTATGGCAGCAGAAAAAGGATTGTCTTTTAAATTCATCACTGACTTCTGATATTCTTGAGAAATGATCTTATTTCCTTTACTTTAGCATGTGAACTTCAAAGATACGTGAAGATACGTCATTTATGTTTCGTGAGATTAAAAGGAAGATCGTTTGGTATGAGCATATCTTCGCATACTGATGCTAAAATCTGTCATTAGAAATTATTATTAAATATCCAATCTTAAATGATACTGCTTATATCTATTTTACTTATGCCTACATTAGCTTTATTTTCTGTTATAATACAGAATAAACACACTCTATTCAATTAACACAACTTATAAATATGGAATTGAAAGTTTTATCCTTGAAGTAAAGTTACTTGACTTTAAATATGCCTTTATCATTAGTCAAATGACGTTGGGTAAGTTACTCAAGATATCTGTGTCTCAGTTTTCTTTTTTTAACCTTAGAAGATTTTTGAGTCAGGGTCTCAGTTTAATTAAAGCTGGCCTTGAACTCACAGTGTAGCCCAGGCTAGCTTCAAACTTGTAGTCTTAGCCTTCCAAGTATAGGGATTTCAGGCATGAGCCACCAACCCCAGGTCAGCTCTCTTACTTATCAAAAGCATGTATAACTCAGTACATTGTAGAATTATTACTGAAGTTTAAATATGAAGTGCTATGAACATAAAAACTCCGTAAAGATGAACACCTTTATAATGTACTTGAATAATATCCTGTAATTTACAGAGAGAATGCTTTTAAGAGATATTTTTGGACTCTAATATCTTCTCCTGCTTTACGAGTTTTTATTTACAAATCCTATATTTCTACCTGAAAGAAAAAAGTGCCCCTACTACTCTATGAAACTAAACTTTTGGTCACATCCTGTCCTTTAACCTGGCTTGCCTACCACAGGCAAGGGCCTCATCAGTCACTGGGTTACAAAGTTGTCTTTAGTTCACCTTTTAGAATAGCTTTCACCTTTCATGTTATATATACATTAATAATTTCCCTTTATAAGTAAAGGGTCCCTTTACTTATATGTATTGTATCACTCATTTCCTTTTAGCACCAAACTTCTTATGAACATGATCTAGTCTTTCTCCACATGTTTCATTCAGTAAAATCTGAAAGTATTCTGAAAGGATTCACAGTGGGTTTATAAATACATGAAAATTTGTTTAAAATTCTATCTCTTTCTCAGACTTTCTATACTTATACCTCTGCTGCCAATGTGTATATTTTTAATTGTTTTATTTCTTGCTATAATCACTGCTTCTTATCTCGGAGTTTCATATACTCTTTCTGAGAATATTTTTGTCTTTTTCATAAACTCTTAGCTTGTCCGCTGGTACCTTTCATGCTAAAGTATTTAATTTTAATATCATTCTGAGATATCTTGGGAAAACTTACCAAATTTCAAAAAGAAATCATGCTTATCAATGATCTTTATTAAATCTTTAGTCCAATCTAGGCCCTTTTCTAATATTTAATAATTTATATCCATCAGTCTTCAATGGTTAAATGTATTTAACGTTTTGCAGCACTATAAATTTAGGAAGTGAATGACAAATACCTTGCCTGTCCACCTCTATGGAAATAAAGCCAGTCTCTCCTTCACTACTTTATTTCAACTAATATGATTACCTGAGCTTCAGTCGAGTGGTTTTCTTAGTCTTTAAAAGATCACATTTGATTCCATTACCTGATTATCAATTCAATATCAACATATAGAGATTGAGCGTGAACTACTTGCCATGAACTAGTACCATTGAGAATGTAAAAAAAAAAAAAAAAGAAATAAACAGAAATCCCCTGGGTAGAAAGAAAAAAAATAAGACTAGAAACTGTATCTGTGTGTGTGTGTGTGTGTGTGTGTGTGTGTGTGTGTGTGTGTGGTTTTTGAAATGGTCCCTGTGGTCAGCATTGTGTTTAACTTCCCTGCTGATCTCTTAGCAGGTGGCTTTTGACTGCGCTGCACACCTGCATGATGTCCCTTTGCCCTTTTCCAGGTCAGATTGCAAATATTTCACACCTTCTTCCTACTTCCTTTTGCTCCTGAATATGAGTAAGTGCAGTTAAAAACCAACCAGCTGGACATAGGAACATATGGCTGTAATCCTAGTACTCTGGATGGTGGAGGCAGAGGAATCAAAAGTTTGAGCCCAACCTGTGGCCACTTAGCAACTTGATGAGACTTCCTGAGAGATTTCCTATCTAAGATGATTAATCTAAACCAATACTGTTAATTATAGCCCTACTGGTGTTGAATGATTAATGAATAGCCACTGAATCCAATTGTCAAATAAAATGTGAGAATTCACCTGCTGGCCCCTTTGGGGGAAATCTCAGTCTTAAGTGAAAACCGTAGGAAGAAACAGTATTCTTGCTTTTCCTGGACTCCACCATACCTGCAATTCTCCCTAAGATTTGTTATCATCCAAACAAAAGCCTGCCCTGCATGTTTGTCTGCCATATGACACTTTCTTAGATCATGTGCTTGCAAATATTCTGAAATTAAAAGAACACAAATTTTCTTTATTAGTTCTTTAATACACTTATTATAAATTGATGTAAAGCTTGCACTATGAAAAAGTGGTCCACTGAGAACCAAAATTATTACTTTCCTGTTATTAATCTCTGTTACCACATAACAGATAAAATGTAAAAGCATTAAAACACTCTGTTTTAATCATTAATTTTAAAGTATCTAGGAGAAAGCTATTTATATACTCACTGGAAAGGACTAAAAATGGAAATTCATACATTTTAAGATAGTTTATGCTGAACACTTGCAGTACCTGAATATCAAATGATATTAATATAAAACTTATCCTAAATCACTAAAAACCAATTGCTGGCACAACTTTTATATTCCAGGTAAATAACGTAAATAAAAAGCACTACATCCTTGATGTAAAATGGTAAAATAATAAAAAGTTAAAATAAAATTACTTCATATGAACAATCTAAGTATTCTTAAAAGTGACCAAAAGTCACAATATTGCAGCTTGGCTATTCAGTTCCGATGACAAATGTTTTCTACATCCAATATTTTAACTGAGTAAGTTAAAGGAAATAGTGATATGATTAAGTCACAATAATACTTCATGAACAAATAACCTGTGTGCAGATTACTTTAAATTTTTTCCTTTGATAAAATGAACACAAAATTTAAAGGTGTAATTCTCTTACATAAGTGAATAAAAGAGCTCATACGCAACTTCTAAAAAGATATAAGCTTCATAATGTACTCAGATGTTTACTTGGTTTAGGTGAATTATTTATAATTTGCAAGTCTGTCCAATAGAGTTTTTTTAAAAGATTTTTTCTTCTCAAAACACAGCAAAAATCAAATTTAGCATTTGCCATTTGTAAAATTTGGGACATTAAAAACACACGTACACCCACATATATATTTTTTTCTGAAATTTAAACAGAAAAATACTGCACCACATCTCCAAAATGTATAATAGATTTCCATTAGTTGCTTGGCAACATTGTTTTATGTTCAACTCCTGAATTTCAAATTGATGAATCACTCTAAATCCTGCCTGGGTGAAGTTCTTGGAAACTCGGACAGGTAGTGTTGCATTTATTAAAATTCCCAAACACCTCTAGTTCTTTGTACCAAAGAAAATAATTAATACAAATAGCATGAGGTAGATGCACAGTGCTGCTGATTTGCATTTGGCCGGTTATATACTTCACACTCAAAGATTTATATAGTGTAATTTTAAATTATAATAATAAAGCTACTTTACAGTTTTAAAACTATTGTCTTTTAGGGGCTGGGGATTTAGCTCAGCGGTAAAGCGCCTACCTGGCAAGCGCAAGGTCGTGAGTTCAGTTCCCGGTACCGGAGAAAAACCAAAATAAATAAATAAATAAATAAAACTATTTTCTTTTGAAAAATATGGCTTTCTCAACTCACTTTTATCTGTGAATATATATATATATATATGCATACATACACATACATTTAAACATGGTGAGGCTAGTACTAACAATTTCCCTTAGTTGTATAACTTTATAGTTTTTAAGAATTATTTTTTCCCTGTAAAATCTCTTCATTTTCTCACAAAATGACTGAATTTTCTATTAAAGTCACATTTTTTCTATTCATGTTTTCACGATAACTGATCTAAAGCCATAACCTCAACTGAAGGAATTCCATTAATGATTTGCAAGTGATCTCCAGGTTACTTTCCCTGTACAATAAGGTGAACAGACAAGATTCAAGGAGGAATGTGAGTAGCAGACTCATGTGTTTAAACTCAGACTGTAGACCTACATGGATGAAACACAAAAGTACAGGGGTTCAGTGTTTTGGCTACAATTTCATATCTGTTAAACCTCTTGGTAGATAAATTCTGGAGTTTTAAATCAAAAACTAATAGAGAAGCTGAGAAATGACCCAGTTTTTTGTGTTGTGATTTTTGTTATCCATGTATTAGCACAACTATCCATGTATTAGCACCACTTCTTTGGACTTGAATATTTGAGATTGTTTTTTGATTTTCTTTCTGTTGAGAATAATTGGGAATGACCTACTATACAAAGTCTAAAGTGACAGAATTCAAATCTGTTTGTCCTCTGACCTTACGCTAGTTTCCAGCTTTGTTTCTTTTTTTAATATTAATTTAATATTTTTTAAAATTTATTTTAAAAATAAAAGAAGGAAAACATTAACAAACAGACATCCCTTTACAAAATGGCATAAGAACAATACAGAGTTACAGACAAAGGGGTAGGAAATTAACAGTGGTTGTTGTATTACGTATTGATATCTTCAAAGTGGTTTCTCAGGAAAACAAATAAAGACATGCAAGATTGATGGCATAAGTAATCATTAACTGTTCCTTTCAGTAAAGTGATAGAAGTTAGTAGTACAACTATGTTAGCTTTGTTTCTATGGGTAAGTAATCTGCAAAGCTTGGCAACATTCACACCTGGGGCATCTTCACAGTGTTTGATTTTGATATTGTCCAGTGTCAATCTCCTCTGTAAGTATTTTTGAAAAGAGAAAAAGTTCTGCAAATTCCTCAGCTTTTAGTTATCTCCCTAATGCAATATTTAGAACACCTTTAGTATGAGCTCAGTTTCTTATCTTTTTTAAAGCTAGTTATTTTTATTTTATACTAGGTAAAATGTGTATTATCATACAATTTTTTATTGTATTGCAGTAAGGTGTTTATGTGTAAATTTCCAGCA